TCGATTCGGTCAGGGGCATGTACCTTGGTTGCGGGCACATCCCCAGTAGGGGGTGTGCAAGAGGCAGCTGGTCGATGTTTCTCTCTCATCCACGTTTCTAGCTCTCTATCTCTCTCCCTTTCTCTCTGTTAAAAATCAATAAAATATATTTTAAAAAAAAGAATTAAATTTTTTTAAAAAATGTTGAAAAGGTATCAGAGATCAGTGAGGAAGTCCCCTGGGCTGTGAGGATTGAAAGTGGAAGAATTTCCTGCCCACTCTTCCCTGTACTCCATAGCATCACTCCCTTGGCCATGCCCTCCAGCTGTGTGTATACAGTGTGAAGCTGGCCGCTCCATAGCTAGGTGAGGTTCAAGTTACTTTGCCTTTCTGAGTCTGTTTCTTCACTTGCAAAATGGAATGCAGTGATGATTTATCCCTTAAGATAGCATTCATCAAGTGCCCAGCGCCACTGAATAGGTTTCTCCCTTGGTTGTCCTTTAATGCTTATGGTCTGGCTAAGTTCTGCAAGGTCTCCACAGGCAACTCAAGATGGAGCCAGTTCTTGGAAAAAAGGCAAGATCACCCCCGCTTCCTGCACAGTCTATTCCTGCTTATGCATTCTGATGTCCTGCTTGCTTTTTTAGGCTCTAAGTGCTATCCTGCTGACTCACTTCCGACTTCTCCTTCATCATGCTCAGCTCCTGAAAATGGAACAGAATGGAAAGGGCCGGATATTGTGCGGTCTGGCGATGTGGTTAAAAGGAATTGGGTGGCTGTCAGGCCAGCCCAAGTGGATGGAATGCTGGGGACATGAACGGAGCAAAATGCCCAAAGTGTTTCTCCCATCTGACACATAGGACATTCTGCCTGGACTGTAATACTAATAATAACCACTCCACTCACTGCCACAGATGAGGAGCCAGGCAGGCCCTGGGCTGTGTGCTTTCCATGACTGTCTATTTGAATCATCACAATAACTGGAAAAGTCAGGGATTCTCTCTATTTTATGGACAAGGAAATTAGACTATGGCAGGTGAAGGAACATTCCCAAGGTCACACAGCTAGAAAGGGGCAGAACAGGGATTCAAGCCCATGATCTAGATCTATACTGTCTAATACGGTAGCCACTAGCCACATGAAGCTAATGAGCACTTGAAATATGACTAGTGTAACTGAGGAAATTGAATTTTTAATTCAATTGAGATGTGTTGTAAATGCAAATATATGTCAGATTTCAAAGACCTAGTATCAAAATATAGATAAATGTTTATATTGATTACATGTTTAAAATGATAATATTTTGGATATATTGGGTTATATAAAATATATTAAAATAATTATATCTGTTTCTTTTTATTTTTCATGTGACTATTAAAATTTCATAGTGACTCTCATTATATTTCTATCATATATAGAGTGTCCCAAAAAAATGTATACACACTTTAACAGTTGTAGATTATATTATATTTTGAAAATAAAATGTATTTTCCTAAACACTCTCTTCAAAGAGTGTATACATTTTGGGGGGACATTCTATATATATTTAGACAGAGCTAATCTGAACCATGAACATTAAATGGTCATCGGGCCAGTGATTTATCAATTGATAATTTGATAAATTAAATTTTGATAATTTTTGGGAACATGAATCCCCAATTTATGTATTTTTACTTATTTATAAATTATATGCTTGTACATTACTCTGCATATTATGTATATTATAAAACGCTGATAAAATGGACATTTTAAAAAGATGAAATTAAAAATAAGTAGAATTCATTGTATTCATTTCCTCCTAGAGCCTAATAGCTTACTTTGTCAACTTGGAGTATGTTCATAACATTTTGGAAACTCCTGCACTACACTTAGAGCTCTTAGAGGGCAGAGATTCTAATTCACATATGCCCTCCCACATTATTGAACGTAGCACCAAACCTACATACACTTCATGGTCAAAAAATGTTTGTGTCAAGAATCAAAAGCTCTTAATATGCAATAATTTTTTGGTGGATTGGATTATTTCTTTATTTCACATGTATTAAGCACTTTCTAGGTGCTCGATACTATAATAGGTGCTGAAAAGTAAGTTTAAGAAGTCCTGGCTCATGTTGATCAGTTGTTACAGCATTGGCCTGCACACCAAAGGGTGTCAGGTTTGGTTCCCAGTCAAGTATCTGGGTTTCAGTTCTCTCTCTGCCCCTGGTTGAGGAGCATGTGGGAGGCAACACATCAATGTTTCTCTCTCTCTCTCTCTCTCTCTCTCTCTCTCTCTCTCTCTCTCTCTCCCTTCTTCTTCTTCTTCTTCTTCTTCTCCTCCCCCTCCTCCTCCTCCTCCTCCTCCTCCTCCTCCTCCTCCTCTCCTCCTCCTCCTCCTCCTCCTCTTCTTCTTCTTCTTCTTCTTCTTCTTCTTCTTCTTCTTCTTCCACTCTCTCTGAAAAAGCAATAGAAAAAATATCCTCAGGTGAGGATTAAAAAAAAAAAAAAGTTTAAGAAAATTCAGCCCCTTTGACCAGTGCTTCTCAAACTTGAGTATGTGTAAGAATCACCTCCAGGGCTTGTTAGACAGATTCCTGCCTGAACGTCCCGTCCACGAGATTCGGATTCAGTGGGCCTGGGATAGAACTTGAGACACTGCATTTCTAAGACGCTTCTATGAAACTACCCTGAGGAAGAGACTGATATGCATTGAAATTGGAAATGCATCCCAAATATTATGTGAGGATGGGGCTAGGGAAAGAGAATGAACATATATTAAACTTTTACTGTTTGCAAAGAACTTTTAAATATATAACCAACCTCATTTAACCCTCACCACAACTTGGTAAGGCATATATTATCTTCATGTTCAGTTGAGGCAACTGAGATGCAGGTTAGTTAAGTTACCTAAGTCATAGAGCTAGTTAGTAAATAGCAGAGCTTAGATTGGTACCTACTTCTCTACACTGAAAAACTCATGAAAATATGTAGTGTGTTTTCATGTTTTAGACACTGCCTTGGGAACCAGGCATGCAACACTGAATGGGACAGACAAGCTCTCTGTCTTGGTCAAACTCAGTAAACAATTAAAATACAGAGTTTTCAGTGCTATGAGGGAGGCAGTGCAATGGAGCTTTATAACAGAGACACAACTCTACAACAGGGTTGGGAAAGCTTTCCAGAAAAAAAAAAAAGAAGAAGAAAAAAGTAAAATTTACAGGAAGAATTGCATGGTAAGTTAAAAAGTGAAGGGTGAGTGAGGAGTGTTTTGAACTGAAAATATTCATAAAGGCTTGGAGAGACTGAAAGAAGTTTAGAATATCTGAAGAGGGTGGATATGAGAGATAAGGCCCTTGAAGAAGACGAGAACCAGCTAGTGCTGGGTCATTTAGACCAGCGTTTTTCAACCGCTGTTCCGCGGCACACTGTTGCCTGGTGTGCCGTAGGTGCAGACAAGACAAGAATTTTATAATTTTTCACTATTTTGTTTACTTAATATTTCATAATAAAGTAATTATAAAATACTTTCTTTGTGTTTATTTGATTCCTATTCAAGAGAATTACTTTATATATAGTCAATATAGGCACAGAGTTAAATTTTTTAACATTTTCTAATGGTGGTGTGCCTCGTGATTTTTTTCATGAAACAAGTGTGCCTTTGCCCAAAAAAGGTTGAAAAACACTGATTTAGACTTACTGACTTTAATCAAGAGTAGGAGCATGGTTAGACTTGATTTTTTAAAAGATTGCTATCCTCTCAGTGGAGGATGGATTGGAAAAGAGCTAGCCTGTAAACAGGGAGATGCGCTGAAGAATTTGGTAATACTCTGGCATCTGGGAATGGGAAGGTGGTTAGAAGAGGTTCAAGGTATTGAAAACTTTATGCTTAATTAGAAGGGGAGGAGTGGGTAGGCAAGAGAAATCAGAGATGATCTCCAGGGTTCTGAGTGCACATTTTTAGTAAAAGAAGGTACTATAAGCTTATTATTTCATTTTTTTTAAAAAAGAAAGAAATTCAGGTAAGTGAAGTTATGTGAAAGTAAAAGAAAGATGATGTTTTAGTAAGATTTCAATGGCTAGAATTTATTGACTTAGAAAAGATGGGAGAAAAATGTAATCTTTATGGTTAAGTTTATTATTTTTATTGTTTTAAATTTGCATTTGTATGATAGGCTTACTGTCCATTGAGAGTTGAGTTGTGAATGCTGGACATAACACCTCTTTTTGCCAAGATCAAAATTGGCCATGAAGGACCAGCCCACAGGTATGAACTGTCAGTATACTGGGTTTCTGCTGCGACAGTTTGTTGAGTAACCTTGAACCTTAAATATTTGGAGCCCCCCACTTCTCTTTTGCTCCCCGTAGTTTTTCACACCTTATGCCTTTAAAAGGGATAGTAAAGGGCTCCTATCAATGGACCAGCGAAGACTTGGACTCCGCCTTCTTCTTCTAGGTCCCGCCCCCTTTCTTTTAAGTCACACCCCCTTCACTGATCCCGCCTCCTAAAAAAGTCGTCGCTGATATGACAGCGAATTCTCCACAACCCTGACCTATAGGAAATCTTAAAGGTGGGACCGCGATCAATCTTCATGTCCATTTGTTAAATCAAGTGTCTATCTGGCACCAGTCCCAGCCCACTTCATCTCCAAGCCAAGGATTGGTTGCTCTGTTCTCGGTCCCCGGCTGACGATTGGTTCTTTCATTCCACCCTCTCTTCCAGCTTTGCAGGCGGGATTAGCACGCAGCTTCCTGCTCCTGCCAAAAAAAATAAAAAAGAAGAAAAAGAAAAGAGGAGAGAGGCGAAAGAAAAATGTCAGAGAGATCTTTGGGTTTTCATTCGCCGTTAGCCTTGTCGGTCAGGCCAAGCTCTGCCTCTCGATTGGCTTTTCTATCTGCCCATCCCAGAGAGGGGCGGGATTTCCCCAGGAGACCCACATCTCGTTGCCACTGGCCGAGCAGTGCGCCTGTCTGAAGCTCCGGCCCCAGGATTGGGAGCGGAAGCGGACAGGTGGGCGTGGATTGGCTAGGGAAGCCGGTCAGTGTGAGACGGGGGCGGGGCCTCGGCGGCTGGTTGCGCGTGTCCGCCGCTGGCTCCGCTCTATCCGGCTTTGCTAGGGGAGGTGAGTCTGGCCGCGGCTGCACCGGCGGCTGAGGAGGCGGCGGCGGCTGAGGAGACTACGGCCGCGGCGGCGACTGAGGAGGAGGAGGAGAAAGCGGCCGCAGGGACTGAAGCCGGGTGGGGGGGAGGGGGGGAGACGGAGCAGCCTTGAGCCCAGCGGGGGCCGTCGCGCGGGGGGACCCACCCGCTCTCCCCCCCAACCCTCCTCGCAGAAGCGCCGGCGGCGGCGGCGGCGGCGGCGGCGGGGGGTAGGAATCTGCCGGCTTCCGACTGCACCCCGCCCGCCTCCCGGGGAGGCTGCTGTTCTTTGGCCCCCGGGACCCTCACCTCATCCCCGGGGCGGTTCCCTCTGCCTGGGCGTCCGAGGGCTGCCCACCTCTCTTTCATTCCAGCCTGCATCTCCGTGCCTCCACTTTGCTCCCCTTTCTCCTCGCGGTCCTGCCTGCCTGCCTGCCTGCCGCCGCCTCGGCTCACTCTCTCCTGCTCCTTCCCTGGCTCTTTTCTGTTCGGGAAAGTTTAGTCTCTGTCTCTCTTTCCCCCCACAGCCAGGTCAGCCTGACTGAGAGTCGGGGGAGATGTAGGGAGGCCTGAGAGTTCGCGGGGGGGAGGCTGGTTTCCCTGAAAATTTCCCCCCATCTTTTATATTTTTTTGGCGGGGGGGTGGTTGGAAAAATTTTTAATTGTGTTATTTTATTTCATTTTATTTTATTTTATTTTTGAGGAGGAGGTAGGTGTTTAGAAAAGGATGTGGGGATGGAAGGGGTAGAGGAGTCAACTCCCTTACAAGATTCCCAGGGCGGCGCGTTACCTGGTCCTTTGCGCGTGCGGGGTTCAGGGGGTCGGGAGGCTGGGCCTGTATTCCCACATTCGAAGTTGGAGCCTCCCCCGAAGTAAGGATGGAGTTCTAGTACCCACTTGTGGCAGGAAACCTGGGGGGCGCGGGGGGGTTCCTTTTTCTTTTTCCTTTTCTTTTTCTTTTTCTTCTTTTCATTTTTTTGGCAATCCACACCCTTCCACACACACCCCAAAACCAAACACCAAGATCCTCTCTAACTTGTCTGGATTGACGGATGAAGAAGACGTAAAGCCAGTGGCGCTCCATGGTGGTTTTGGAGGTGGCGTGAGTGGTTTCGCTTCATTTTTTTTTTTTTTTCTCCAATGGCCAAATGACAGCTTGACCTAGTTTGCTTTCCAGTCAAAGGGCATTTTTATTTTTTAATTTTTTTATTTTGTGAATGTCTCTTTGTGGCGCGAGAGCCAACGCAAAAATGATGGCGGCTTACAATGGCGGTACATCTGCGGCGGCAGCAGGTCACCACCACCACCATCACCACCACCTTCCCCACCTCCCTCCTCCTCACCTTCACCACCACCACCACCCTCAGCACCATCTCCACCCGGGGTCGGCGGCGGCTGTGCACCCCGTCCAGCAGCATACCTCCTCGGCGGCTGCGGCAGCCGCAGCAGCGGCCGCGGCTGCTGCCATGTTGAACCCTGGGCAGCAGCAGCCATATTTCCCATCACCGGCCCCCGGCCAGGCTCCTGGACCGGCTGCAGCGGCCCCAGCTCAGGTACAGGCCGCCGCCGCCGCCACAGTGAAGGCGCACCATCATCAGCACTCGCATCACCCCCAACAGCAGCTGGACATCGAGCCGGATCGACCTATTGGATATGGAGCCTTTGGTGTTGTCTGGTGAGTATCAAGAGGAAAACACAACTTCTCATGGTTTCTTCTCGTGGTTGTGACTCGGGCGCGTCACCTCCTAACGGTTTTCTCCATGCTGACCAAAGGGGAGCGAGACACCCTCACTTCACAGGGTAAACAGGAAGACAGGGTGTCACTTGAATGGTAAAGAGGCCTAATGCATAGGTCATCCAAGCTTATACATTTTTTTTTTTTTTTAATCCTCACCTGAGGATATCGTTCCAGTTGATCTTTTAGAGAGAGTGGAAGAGAGAGGGAAAGACAGAAACATCGATGTGAGAGAAACACATCGATTGGTTGCCTCCTGCAGGCGGGCCCAGGGCCCAGGACCAGGAGGAGCCTGCAGCCAAGGGTTGTGCCCAAGGTTCGAACTCGGGATCCTTTGGTCCATAGGCCAGTGCTGTATCCACTGAGCCAACCGGCTAGGGCTAAGGTTATGCTTTTGAGTCATGTCAAATTTTGGTGGAGAATCTTCTGAGGAGTAACACACGTAAGTTTGCTGTCTACCGACCTTTTAGTTTAGAATCTAACCAAGCCACAAAGTGTGGGATCAATAGATGAAGGTGTGAAACTTTTTTTGCTGCAAAAACCTTGGGCATCTCTCCTGTTTGATTTAAGAGTGAATCAGCCAAAACCAGTTTGGCTCAGTGGATAGAGCGTCAGTCTGTGGACTGAAAGGTCCAGGGTTTGATTCCCGTCAAGGGCATGTATCTTGGTTGCCGAAATATCCCCAGTAGGGAGTGTGCAAGAGGCAGCTGATCGATGATTTGTCTCATCGATGTTTCTAACTCTCTATCCCTCTCTCTTCCTCTTTGTAAAAAATCAATAAAATATATTTATTTTAAAAAGTAAGAGTGAATCAGTTGCAGCAAATGTCACAACAGACCCAAACTCTATTCCCTTTAATTGTTTTACCATTGCGATATACCTTGCAAAACTACTTTGCTGTCCTTCCCGTCTTTTCAGCCTTTTCAGCCCTTCGTTTGAGATCTTGATCACCAGGAAGAAGATAGGGCTCATATTTGAACCAGTTAAGTCACTTCTTGCGTGGTTTATTTTAAACTGTAAGGCTACAGTTGGGAAGTATTTCGCTTCAGCCTTTTGATAAGAATGCATTAAATATAGCATCACACATGAGTACCACAAATGAGGTCAGTAGAGGGTAGCTATACTGTGGCCCACATTTGGTGTAATGTTTTAATGTCATTTAGTGCCTCTGAATTTGCTCTTGTAACTTGGTTGGTTGCTGTAGTAGGAAGTAGACTTTTTAAACTTACAAAACTGCTCTGCTTTTGCTAGTGCTAAGGTATTTCTCTAAGTCCAAGGGTTTCTTAAATGCAACATTGTGTCTGATCTCAGGAAGATTGGTAGTTTATAATATAATGTATTTATCATTATAGGGTTCTATTTGTATCCAAACTAGAGTGAACTGAGTTTTTCCACCAAGGATTCAGTGTTGTGGTGTGGATAGATGAATTGATGTTTTGAGTGCTTTCAAAAATATATTCTTGTTAAATGTCTAGAAAAGCCCCCATCACCACAGGAAAATGAACGAACTCTTTGGAACTAGCCTGGTACATGTCACCTTTCGTCATTGTTTTTCAGGCTCTAATTGATGAATATCATTTTTGCATTGTATCTGGCCATCTTTATATATATTTAAGATTTTATAATGTAGGCTGCCGGAGTGATCTGATCTGTTTGTGTTCTTTTTTGTTTTTGTTTTAAACTAGTAGTGTTTTCCCAGCTAAGTCTCCCAGGAGATTGCAGCGGTAATGCTCCCTTCTCTGAGGTGTGTGGGATTCCTGGTGGCAGAGTCTATGTAGCCAGTAATGGTGCCTCTTTGGTGGTTCTGCTCAGGGACCTGCCTGTTCCTGCCTTCCTCTCTTCTCTTCCATATCCTATCCTCAGGGATTGCACTGTGAACACCCTTCCATTTCTTGCCTGACCCTTGAGGATTTCAAAGCTTGATTTGGGGCCCGCAAAGGGGGAGGGAAAGGGAGGCAGGAAAAAAGTTGTTCCTTGCTTTAAATTTTGTCATTGATTTACTGAGAATTTGTGTGGATTTTCTTAGCCATGGATACTCTTTCTTTTTAGTGCTTTGCGTACAACACTAAGAACTAGAGATACTGAAAGGGAAATGGGTTGTACTTCCTATACTATAAAGGTGTTATTTGCATTTCTACCAAATGGTGATGTTACCTGTAGAAATTTTAACTTCAAGTTGGTGCTAAGGGAGAAGTTTTTATTTTTAAAGGAGAGGGAGGTGAGGAATTGGAGTGCTGAAACATCACCACAGTGAACATTCTGATAATAGGTATTCTGAATTAGTGGTATATTAAAATCCCAATATGTTTGATTTGAATTCATTCTAGATTGTTTCCATTCATTGACCCCTTCTGTATACTTTTTTCTATATGCTTGAAGTGCCTCCTCCTGTGCACTGTCTTCTGTTGTAGTACATCGGTTGTTTTGTATTTGCTTGTCTCACTGACTACATTTATAAGCCCCTTAGGGTTAAGGACTGTGGTCTACAAAAATACATTTTTTTCCTAGCCGGTTTGGCTCAGTGGTAAGAGCATAGGCCTGCGTCCCGAAGGGTCACGGGTTCAATTCCAGGTCAAGGGCACGATCTTTGGCTGCAGGATCAATTCCCCAGGGAAGGGCGTGTATTGGAGGCAACCAGTCTATGATGTTTCTCTCTTATCTATGTTCCTCTCTCCTCCCTCCCTTACACTCTTCTCTAAAATCAATAGTAAAATATCCTTGGGAGAGGATTAAAAAAAAAAAAAAAAAAAGACCTACGTTTTTTCTCCCCAGCACTTCGCACAGTGCTGTGGCATCTTTGCTGCTTGGTTACTTGATCTGCTCAAAATTTCTACAGGTAACCTTCTTTGTTCTTTAGCCAAGTTTTTCTAGTTATTATATTGAGTGTTTTTATCAGCTGTTACAGGTGAAATACAATTTGGTATGGAAAAAAAGAAGAGTTCCAGGTGTGTGTTTTAGTATGCAAATGCTTTTCTATTTTTATATTTCCATATTGTTGACTTGCTGGCTGAATTGCTTATTATAGTATTTGGAATTTAACTGCTATGTGACCTAAGATTGTTAAAATCAGAGATCTGAACACCAAACTAGAGTGAAGTGCACTCATATTCGGAAAGCCAAGCTAAAAATATTGATAAGGTGTTATACTTTTCAACTATAACTGAACCAGAATTTTCCTTTAGAAAGGATCCAATAAAAACAACTTTTTAAAAATGAATACAATGTAAAATAAAATATTCTCCCAATGATATATCATTTGATTCATAGCACCATACACCTACTTGGATATTATAAGATTCAAATATATTTAATGCATTTTTCAAGTATTTTTCTTCTGACATGGCATATCTGCTTTCATGATATTTTTTTTCTGGACATGCACCCAGTTGGTACTAAGTGGTGGCTAAAAATGCTGCATGCAATATTTTTTTCCCATTTCTTAATCAAGGGCACTTTCTTCATTGATTCTAGAGACAGAAAGGAAGGGAGAGGAGGAAGAGAGAGAGAGAAAGAGAGGGGGAGGGAGAGGGAAAGAGAGAAAGAGAGGGAGAGAGAGGGAGAGGGAGAAAGAGAGGGAGAGACAGAGATTGAGAGGGAGAGGGAGAGGGAGGAAGGGGGGAGAGAGAGAGAGAGAGAGAGAGAGAGAGAGAGAGAGAGAGAGAGAGAGGTCAATGTGAGAGTGGAACATTGATCATTTGCCTCCTGTATGTGCCCTGGCCAGAGGTTGAACCCCCAGCCTGGGTATATTTCCTGACCAGTGACCCTTGGGGTCACGGGATGGCGCTGAGCAACACCAGCCAGGGAGACTGTTGTATGTAATTTTGAGGGATATTGTTCCTCCATGTAGACAAGGAGAGATTTTTTACAGAAGTGATGTAGCATTTTACCATTCAGATTTATCACTGAATAGTTTAGTCTGCCAGGCTTGATTCTCTTTCTGCTAAATTTAACTAGTGGAATAACTTACCAGTATTGGACGGTCGTGTAAAAGTAATGAATTACCTATTAGCTTGCTGGTTAAGATGGTGCTTTGACAGTTCAGTTGAGGTTTCATTAACAACTGTCTGCTGTGCTTTCTCTCTAAGTCAGGGTCCCAGTTTACCTGGCAATATGATCATGGGGTAGCATGAGATACATTCATTGCCTATGATAGAATATTGCTCATGGGTTATCAAAGCATCATATATAATTTGACCTTTATCAGATGCCAAGGCTTCCATATACTAGTATATGGTCATTTTCATAATGTAATGCAAAACCTAAACACAAAACAGTGCACAAAAAGAAACCTGAGCCTGTGGGTGAGGCTGTCTGAATTGAATACCTTTTTGTCTGTAGTTCATTGTTGCCAGAAGAAAGTATGTTGTGCATAGAGAGATATGACAACTCTGGGACAAAGAGTATTACAGTTTACAGTATAGATTTCAGGGTCTTATGAGGTGTATACTTTTTTTTAAAAAATATATTTTATTGATTTTGTACAGAGAGGAAGGGAGATAGATAGATAGAGAGTTAGAAACATCGATGAGAGAGAGTCATCGATCAGCTGCCTCTTGCACACCCCCTACTGGGGATATGCCCGCAACCAAGGTACATACCCTTGACCAGAATCGAACCTGGGACCCTTCAGTCCCCAAGCCAACGCTCTATCCATTGAGCCAAACCGGTTTCGGCGAGGTGTATACTTTTGACAGTTGGAGGAAGTTAACTACATGAGGGAGGTTTGAGAACTGCTAAATCCAGGCAGTTTTATTATTGGCAGCCTGAACTATTAGAGATTGAACTAATGGCACATATTGCCATTTTGATAAAAGTGAGTCTGGGAAAAGTTGTTGTTTTGTTTTTTTACTTATCTGGTTAATTGAAAGCTGGAATTCATTTGGTCTGGTGCCTTTGTACTCCAAGTAAAGTTGGAGAACTTTGAATTTTATTCTCATACCTTTTGCGGGTTGCTGTTATTTAAGTCTTTCAAAACTTAAGCATCACTGTATTTATGTTTAGTTACTAGCTATGTGATATTGATAAATTATTTAATCTCTCTCTTGCTCATCCACAGAGTGAGGATAAAAATAGCATCTATCTCATAGGATTAAATGAGGCAATCCTTGTAAACCAATGAATACATTGTCTACCATACAGTAAGCACTCAAAAAATAATAGCTTTTTAAAGTGATAAATATTGTTGATAGAAATCAAACTGTTATATTAATGTGCATATAAGAGGTTTCATATATGGTCAGATTTACCAGGTGAAATCAACATGCAGGCTATTTTTGAAGGCATGACTTTAAATATCATAGTGTCCACTTAGTTGTGCTATATGCTAACAAATACATAAAAATGTACATACTTGGTAGTATTCTAGTCATATTATCTCACTGTTTTATTGTAGAAAGTATTATTACTTTATATCCTGGGAAGGAAATAAATATTTTCTTTTCAGAATATAACATGAAGAACATCCTTAGCATCATCAAAGTTCAACTTTACTGGAAATTCATTTTACTTGTGTTTGGAAGAAAAAGCATGAATTGCTAAATAAAATTCCAAGGTGGGGAAATACGTGTGATTTAATGAAAAATTATTCAGTGTAAATCCTTATGCAATGCAAAGATGGTTTAGCTTGCTCATCTTGTGAAATTTAGAGGCATCATTTTTTTTCCCCCTGATGTTTTCTGTGCTCCTCTTACTCCTCAAATAGCAAACTGTAATTTGGAAAAATGGGAAATGCTTTTGGAATAAGTTTGGGGGGAAACCCTGGAATTAGTTGCATCAGAAAGATGTAAGCTAAAGTATAGTAAAGTGTATTTTACTATTAACTTTGTTTTACAGGTTAAGAGTCTGTAGTATTGAAGTTTCTCCATTAGCCAAGATTAACAGCCACAGCTGGATTCTTGGGGTGTGGGGACAGGGAGGGTCTGCTTTGTGAAAAGAGCTTTGAAGAAGCAGAGTCTGCACCATAAAAGGAAATGGTTGCTCTTCTAGACATAACAAAGCATTTGTGTGAAACTAGAAATGTGGAAATCTATATTGTTAATTTTAACTACAAAAAGTGTACTTTTAGAAACTGCAGGTTCCTGGTCATAAAGTAAAGAAAGCAAAGAGAGTGAGAGAATAAAAGTAACAAAATCTGATACTGAGTTGGTTTCTTGGTGATAGAAACTCCATAGCCTGTAACATTGGAAGTTGTTTTGTACTTAGGATGTACTTTTAGAAATTAGGTTCATGGTCATAAAGTAGAGAAAGCAGAATTAGAGAATAAATAAAAGTAACACAATCTGATGATACTGAGATGATTTTTTGATGATGAAAACTCCATAGCCTGTGATATTGGAAGTCATTTTCTACCTACTAGTAGGCTCTTGATAAGATTATCCAAATTATTTTAGGGGGGGGGAACAAAAGAAACTTGTTTTATTCTTGGGGAGACGTTTTATGTTATACTATTGAATATCAACTTAGAAGAAAAGAGACAAATATTTTTATTTTAAAAAGACATTTCAGAAAGAATTTCCTCTTCAAGCTAAAACAATAGCCCTCAAAATTACATGCAACTTTTTAAGCTATCAATTAGTAACACTGGTGTATGTCCTGGGAAAAAAATAAAAAATGAGGGCAGATAGAGTTCTCTTTCATATGCTATGCTAGAAGAAGAATATATGTAAAATGCATTAATATATGTTTAAATCTAAGTTTTGAGAGTTTATCCTCAAAACAGACAACTGTAGAAATCATGTTCCTTGATATAAAAGACCATTCTCTAATAGAGTACTGAAATATTTCATTATATTCATAACTTGAAGCATTATATTTTAGAATTGTGTGGCTATTCTTGGTGGTTTTTACTATTTTGTTGATGTCTTAGTAGTTCAAGAATCTGCTGTTTATATACTTTATGTTTCCTTAATATGCTGATTTGACTTCTTTAATGGAAATTGCCGAGACCTAAGAAACCTTTCTGCCGAAACCGGTTTGGCTCAATAGATAGAGCATCAGTCTGAGGACTGAAAGGTCCCAGGTTCAATTCCAGTCAGGGGCATGTACATTGGTTGCGGGCACATCCCCTGTAGAGGGTGTGCAGGAGGCAGCTGGTCGATGTTTATCACTCATCGATGTTTCTAGCTCTCTGTCCTTCTCCCTTCTTCTCTGTGGAAAATTAATAAAATATATTTTAAAAAAAGAAACCTTTCCATTTGTTATCCAACCAAACAGAAAGAAGCCATGGGGTAGAAGCTCTTTCATATTAAGATTATATTTGAGTTTTACTTATAATTGCTTGTACATTTAGAGTACTTCAGTGAATTGTTTGTTGATTGTGTCTTCTAAGGTAGATCAACAATGATTTCCTAAATAATATAATATAGCTTGTCAGTTTGATCCTGTTGTTGCTTGGGGGTAACATAGAGAATGCCTGAGGCAACAGTTGTAATAGTGTCAATGAGCATGTGACATGTCATCATAGACCTAGTCTGTGGTTCTAAGGTACCCTAGTCGAGAGACATCAGAAAAAATTCTGGCATTCTGGCATTATGAAAAGATGACTTCTAAGGAAACTATATTGAGTTGAGTTCTAACAGTTCATTGTAATGGAGTGAGTAGAGGGATGTCTGCTATTGATCATGGTTGGTGCTCTTTACCTAAACCCAGTTTCATTATCTGTGCTCTTAATTAGTTTGGCTAATTGAATCATATCCGCTGTAAGACAAAAGATTTGACACTGTTGAAATTCACTAGTCAGTGTATTTTTATTGTCAACCTGCTATGGACCAGTACAATTGTAGGCACTAATGAGGATATTTACTTCTATATAGAATTTTGCAAATCTCTAGCAATCTTCTCTGTTGTCTTATGTTTTTGGTATTGGGATATATATGTTTAGTTTTGAAGTTGCCCTAAAGGAGCTTACAATAAAGTAAGCAGTAGGAAAAATAATACATCCCTGCTTTCAGGGGATCTAGAAGGAGAGTTGAAATTCAACTTGAAGCCATTAAATAAAAACTTAAAGATATATGTTATTTTCACTTGTTCTTACAATACTCATTTATTATGTGTTGACTATTCCCCAAGCTGGATGATAGAGATTTAAAGGAGATTATACATTTGGGGAGAAAGATTTGTAAATGGAGAATTATAATTCATTGCCATTATTGCAACAAAAGAGATATTCCCTGGATATTATGGGAACAAAGAGGAGGGATTTCTGTGGGAGGTATGGATGCTTCTTAGAAGCGGTAATAACCTCAAATGAATTTTAAGAATAAGGGAATCAAATAATGGGCAGGGCATTCTTGGTGGAGTTGCTGAAATACAGAGTGTGTTGCAGGAGTGATAGAAGATAAGGGCAGAGATGCAAGCTAGGGCTAGATTCTGAGGAGGTTGGAGTGTGCTGCTGAGGAGCTGCGATGCTCTTGGTATTTGGGAGACGAGTCTATTTTACGCTTTTTATGAATTAAGCACATACATATATACCAGCACTACAAAAACTAATATATAGCATATCTATACTATTAAAATTTCATGGGAGAATGATTAAAGGGAAAATGTTTAAAAATGCTCCTTGGGTGAGGGTTGAGGGAAGAAGAAAAAAAATGCTCCTTGGTTAGGGAATGATAATGAAAAAAATGTGAAACTGGGAATGATAACCTGTGAAAGTTTTTGAATAGGAGAATAAGTGGTTCAAATTGATTTTTTAAAAAGATATTTAAATATAATAATAGATGGAGCTTTAGGGAATGTACTCAGTTGTAAATGGAAGAAACTTTTGGAGGCAAAAATTAAAGGATGGGCAGATAGGAAAATGTGTTCACAGTGATTGACAGAAGACAGTTATGAAGATGGGAGTGATTTTTGGTGCAAATAAAGAAGCCAGAAAATGAAGGTGGAGAAAAGGCCATTGAATTTAGCAAATAGATCATTGATGGCCAAATCCCAAGTTTTTAAAAAAATATTTTTTTGTTGATTTCAGAGAGGAAGAGAGAGATAGAAACATCCATGTTGAGAGAGAACCATTGATTGGCTGCCTCCTGCATGCCCCACACTGGGGACCAAGTCTGCAACCGAGGCATGTGCCCTGATCAGAATGGAACCTTGACCTTTTGTTTCATAGGTGGTTGCTCAACCACTGAACCACACTGGCTGGGCCAAATCCCAAGTTTTTATTTCTAGTTTAATAAACCAGAGAACTTGGTGTTTATCATGTTCAAGTTGCCATTTCCTTGGAAATAATTTTTTTTTTTTTTTTTTTTTTTAATGACAGGGTAATAAAATACTAACCTGAACTTGTTAGGAGACTTGGTTTTGGTCCCTGCCTTATTGCCAACAACCCCATGACCTTGATAAAGTTATTTAAAATTTTTGAGTCTTGGTTTCCTCGTTTATAAAATCCGGTGTTTCCTAAATTTCTATAATAAAAATGCATTAATATTTGTAAAGCATTGTGGCATTATTTGTGGGCAAATAGAGTGACCACAAGACAACTTCAAGACTACCAATGTTGAATACCTTCTGAAGTTATTTAAAGGAACAAAGAGATAAATGTAACCCCGTTCCCAGTGCGACCAGCACAGTTCTAGAGTCTCTTTGGCCTTTGTTGGGTTGTGTACTCATTTCTGAACCAATTACTGTCGCTGGAGATAAGATTACTATTGGAGCAGTCAGGTTCACTCCTGGACCTGGAGATAGAGTACATTATAAGTGGCAGGGATGAATTCCAGCAATGGATGTTGGGAAGATGGTCATTACCTGACCAAGAACACATTCATCTAACTTATGTCAGACTCAGAAGAACCTGATCAGGTGCATTTACAAAGCAAAGTGTAAGGCATATTCTCTGTGGAGAATTTTGTCTTGTTTGTCCTGAATTATTTGGAGTATTTACCTTTTCTTTTCTAAAGACTCATTTTCTTAAAGTAGTAGAGGGTAAAATTGGTATCTGATCCTTGCCATGTTTGCTTTCCTCTCCAGGTAGATCAGATATCCTCCATTGATTTCTTTTCTTTCCTCTCTCAGTGTTGTGGTTTTGTTATCTAGATGAAGTTCTCAGTCTTGTTTTCAGTTTAAGTAGTATAGAGCTCAGTAGTGTCAGACAGCAAACTCTTTACAGGGGGAGTGGACACACAGAAACTTTTTGTTTATCTGTTCCTTGACCTAAAATTCTTTCTCTGAGCCACAAAGAAAAGGTGAAGAGAGACATTTGAACAAAAAAGATAAAATTAGTCATTTGACCCAGATTGCAGCTTTTTTCCTGTCTGTGTGGATGAAAACCATCCCAATTTACATAAGCAGGTGATTTTTCTTACATGCTAATTTTCTTAACGTACCATGGCAGAGAGCTGCAGATTTGCAAATTGTGTAAATTGAAATAAACCAGGTGACTTTATTTCACATTATTATCTTACCGGGACTCAAGTACCCAAAGGGTGCAATTATCGGGTGATTGTCTCATTGCACATTTTAAGTTAACAGGCAGCCTAGTGCAAAGTTTTAACTCCCACCTTCTTCCTCATTTCCTTGTCTTTTAAATTTTTTAAAAAAAAGGAAAATATTGATTTCTATATTTACTTCAGTAGGCTAGAAATTTAGTAATGCAGATGTGGGGAAATTTGAGCTTTATTAAAAGTAATCCAGAATCCATAAAAGTTGGCAAATAATGTGGATACTGTGCAGAAAAAGGAAAATAATGCATACTTGGCTTGAGTTTGAATTGCCTAAGAATTCAGTGAGGACCTTCAGCCATATTTAATTGGTTTGCTTCCTCTGTGTTCCTTTTCTCAGGTTCTGCATGGTATAGTAATTGGGTTATTATAAAGTTAACTGATGTGTCCTAAAGCCAGTGTTCAGAATTAATATTGATGCATATTCTTTTAAATACCGGTGTGACTTAGTGATTGAACACGGACCTCTGATCCTGGTGAGGGCACAAGCCGGGGTGGGCTGGATCCCTGTGGTGGATGTACAGGGGGCAGCCAATCAGTGGTTCTCTCTCATCATTGATGTTTCTATCTCTCCCCCTCCCTTCCTCTTTGAAATCAATAAGAATATATATTTTAAAAAGAAATTATCTTTTAAAATAAATACCAAATAAATTAATTGCAACATAGCTTAAAATATCATTTCAATAAAATAGAAATTTTAGAAAGGTACAACAGTTGGTTTTTAGTGGCCTTTTCCCAGATTCATGAATACAAATAATGTTAACCAATAAATCATTAAAACATTCCAATATTAAACAGTAATTAATGCTATTTAGTTTCTTAGGTTATATTATTTATCTATTGGTATATATGGAGATTAAATTATGCCCCCTATAGCTTTGAGGTAATGACTTAGAAATGAATGGTAAATTTTAAAAGTGTGGCCAGTTTTTTTAACCTAGTATTTATTTTTAGTT